CTTTTATAGTAGATTTCTCTGATCAGAGCAAGAGGTTAGTAAAAGACATGAGCACAATGTAAGTATGTGAGATCTTGCTGTTTTGATCTGAATTTGTAGTCATCCCATGGCCCAAGTAAGAGTAAAATTAGTGTTTGAATTTATCATACGTAAAAGGTTCAATTTCTGAAGTCTAATTAGAGAAAGGATAAACAAACTTGTGTAACAAGATTGTGTATCTATTCAGTTATGAGGTTAAAGTTAGGAACCTCTTGTTTAAAACAGTTTTTGCAAGAAGCCCCCTCCCTAATGTAACCAATCAGAGGTCTTTGCCACCCCTTTTGTACTGACCACTCTTTTATGGGAAAATTTTTCTATCTCCACACCCTGTTTCTCAACAGGGAATTATTCCCTTGCTTGGGAAACAAGCTCTACAGCCACTGTACAGGTAAAGACCCCTGTCAGGGGAGGGATTGTAAATGTCTCTGCTGGTCTCTTGACTTGAACCACCTGTAAGGATGCCTACAGTGATGACTGTCCCCAGAACTTTACCTCTCCCAACAGTACTACCTGTTCTGAGGGAACACTCCCTAGTTGCACCTATGACCAAATCCCTCCTGCCACTCTCCTAGCAGGCTCTCCCTATTTAACTTTCTCTTCCCAGTTGACACACAATGCTATAGCCCCCTTCCAGCTATAACACTCTTGTTGATCTTTTGAAAATTTCTGTCTTACTTGGAATATTGGCATGTAATCATACTGATCCATGGGGCATCCATGCTCAGTACCTTTTACAAACAGGCCCCATCTGTACCCCTAAGGAATACTCCTTCCTTTGTGGGATGGTGGGCCAGGAAGTGAGGATTCTGGGGAAGTAAAGCAAAATGCCACTACTTGGCAGGACCCCAGGATGTTGTTCTAGCCACCCAGTGTTTAACACCTTATAAGGATTTTGGTGTGTGCTCCCTTGGATTTTTGGCACCACCTCTGACCATTTTCAGTATTACTAAACCCAGTACCTCCACCCTAACAAGAGTGAAGCATGGATTCTGGAACAATGTTCTCTGGTACCTTAAAAAGGGAACAGAGTATCTCATGCCTCGGTATGGACATTTACAACAAGAGTTCATTCTTTCACACCTAACAGGGACCACCCAGTAATTAGCAAATTACACAGCTTATAGCCTCCAGGACATTCAATAACCTCTGGATTCCCTGGCAAATACGGTTCTGGATAATCAGATAGCTTTGGATTATCTACTTGCTTAGTGGAGGTGTCTGTGCCCTGATCAACACCTTCTGCTGTATGCATATTAACAACTCTCAACAGGTGGAGCTCCGTACCAAACGTATACTAGAACAAGCTAATTGGATGTGACACATCCAAGAAAACCCTAGTATACCAGGGTCATCCTCTTCTTGGGGATCCTGGATTCTCTCTATGTTAACTCCTATTCTTGTCCCACTCCTGATCATATTCCTTTTACTTCTTTTTGGCCCTTGTCTGCTTAATCTTCTTGTCAGATTTGTCTCATCTAGGCTCAGTGCCCTCCACTTCCAGATGACCTCTCAGGCTGTGTACCAACCTCTGTCTGAGACCACAACCCATCACCCGTTGGACCTGGCATTGGCCAAGTTCTGGACACTGCCTAGAGAACTGACCCCTTGAACAGAGGGACTCTGGGAGGCAGGGACAGCCGCCCAATTCCAGCAGGAAGCAGTTTCAGAAGCTGAGACCTTCGTCCCTCACCCCAAAAGATTTTGGGTCCCATCTGTTTAAGGGGGGAATGATGGAGTGCTTGTGCTTGTACTTGGACCCCAATTTCTCCTTAGTCTCAGAAACATTGTCTCTGATAACCACTCCCCAGGCCAAGGACACTGTGACTAGCAATTACTCATGCATGGGGCCCAGCAAGACCCTTATCTCTCTCCCTGGTGCTGGGTGAGAGAGTGCTGGGCTGCTCAGGCCCCAGCCCTCAGATCATATCTCTGAAAGCCTCTCAATTCCTTAGTAAGTTCCTGTCTTGTGAGAAAGCTTTCCCTTGTTTAAGCTGGAGCAGAGCATTCTCTCATCAAGACAGAGGGAGAGGGGTGCCTTGCCCAGCCCAAGGAGTTTTGTCCTTGGCTGGCCCAAGGACTCTTCCTCCTGCCAGACTCCACAGATCCATACTTCTGTCATCTCCCTCCCTGTACTTTCCCATCCATAGCTCCCAAAGACACCTGGACCTTTAGATTACCTCATCAGTGTCCCTGGCATTCCTTTCCCATGCCCTTTTCCATATAAACCCTAGCTCCATCCTCAGTCTCTTGCAGGTTCCTTAAGAATCCTTGCCTGCTGAAAAGCATAACAATAAATCTTTGCCACTTTGACTTAAAGAATGCTTGAGCCTGTGAATTCATTCCAGATGCCCACATCCAGTACTCCAGTCTTTTGAGGGGTCTCAACCTCTCAGACTGCAACATATATACATACATATATAGCCCATCCCACTCTATTAAAGAGGAAGACTCCGATCTAGATGTGAGAATAATGCTTAATTTGGAGGTCAGAGGACTTGGGTTCAAATCCTATCTTAGGCAAATTCCTTCATTTCTCTAAGTCTCCATTTCTTCCTCTATAAAATGAGGGGACTGGACCAGAAGAACTCTTAAGTTCCCTCCAATTCTAAGTCTATGTGCCATGAGACACTGGCCAAGTCATGTGCTGATTATCTGATAATGCTACATTGCACAGGTATGGTGGTCCCCCCCCAATCAGAATGGGAGTTCCTTGAGAACAGGGCAGTCTTATTTATCTAACTATAACCCAAGCACTTAGCACATAGTAAGTGCTTAATAAAAACTCCATTCATTCATCTCCTAGGGTCGATTTCCTCACCAAGACTCTATCATTATTCAGTACAATGCTCTCCTTTCCCCCTGATGTTTTACAGGTGAAGAAACTGAAGTCTAGAGATCAGGTGACCTTCCCAAGGTCATAAGCTACTTAACAGCAGAGCCAAACCAGAACTCACGTTTCTGGCCTCTAGTCTAAGTATTTTTTTCCTTTCTTGGTCCTCTAATTCTATGATTCTTAACCAAGTACTATATTGTAATTCTGTTCCTTTATAATCACATATTACAAACCTCTGTGACAGAGCCCAACACCCCACTATTTATTTATTCGTTTGTCTTTTTAAAGTACACCTAATAAGTAAATATGGTACTGTTTATTTAAACAAGAGTAATTTATAACCATGTTATGCTAATTACTTATTAGTTCCTCTCAACATTTCAAATCACAGAATCTCAGGAAGTTGGAAGGGACCTCAGACATGATCAGTGCAACTCAGATTTAAACAAGGATTCCTTCCTAACATGCCCAATAATTTAAAAATCCACTATTTAAAACGTAACCTTTCTATGAGACTCACATTTTGCTCAAGTCCTTGCACCTACAAATTATCTGCATTCCAAACACAGCTCAAGCTGGAAGTCTTTGTCCCTAGTACAATGTCTGATTTATCTCCCACCATTATCTTCCTCACCTTTGGCCCCAACCTTTAACTCTACACCACCAACAGAAGCAAGGTCTCAATTTCATTGGTCACTCAAACCCCTGTCAATCTGACTGCAGCTGTTCACAGCCCAGTCATCAGGGTGCGTTTCAGCATGATCGTCACGAGCTGATGATCCTGGACGAACCACTTCACCCGGCCTTACCCCTAAGCACCCTCCCAGTGCTAACATGCTCACTAGATGTGAGTCACTCCAGGGCTGCTGGGCAGGCATCAGACAACTGCAGCTGGAGTCTGAACCGGCAGCAGCGGGCCAGTGAAAACAGAGGCAAGTCCAAGGCAAGGGGAGGGTCCAGCTCACGGCCCTGGGCTACCTTGTTGTGATGAGTCCCCGAGCAGGACCTCCGCTCCTCCACAGCCCAGAGAAATGACAAGAGGTGTGCTTTACAGCAGGTAAATGCAGTCCAATTAAATAGGTGCAATGGAAATGGGCTTATTTCCCAGCTCTGAACAAGGAAAGCTGAACAGCTGGAGATGCTGATAACCTTCTCAGTCACTCCACTGGCTATGCAGCTTTGTCATTTCATTAAATACTCCACATTTGCAAAGATCGTCATGGAGTACAATCGGAGAGAGGAAAAACATTTCCCTTCTCCCCAGGCCTCATCCAGAAAATGTGCAGTAAACAAACCCAAGCTATTTTGTTTGTTCACTCAATCTGCCCCTTATGATTATACCATTTATGTCAATTCTGACACCGGCGGCAGGCAGTGCTACAGGTCACATACCTTTCCCTTTTCTGGGGAGCAGACTTTTATAGTAGGATGATTCTTTTGGCAGCTCTGAGGGAGGAATAGAGGAAGAATATGACAGAGATTAAGGAAGCAGACTTGAAAGCATCTGGCAAATGGATGAATGTGTAGGGTGACAGAGAGGAGAAAGGAAGAGGGAGAGAGGAACAGAGAGAGATGGAAAACAGGGTGGGGGTACAAACATTTATTAAGCACCTACTATGTGCCAGGCACCGTGCTAAACATTTGACAAATATTGTCTCATGAGAGGCCTTAAAGATGACCTAAACTTTCAAACCTGGGGAAATGGGGGTAGTGTCCACAGAAACTGGGATTTAGCCCGTAAGAGGTCACTGGTGACCTTGGAGAAGACAGTTACTGGCCAACGATGCGAGCCGGGTGGTGAGAGATTAAAGAGAACAAATGGAGGGAGGAAGCGGCTACGACTTTTCTAAAAGTTTAGCAGTGAAGCAGAGGAGTGATTTAGGACGCCTGGAGGGGCTGACGGGAAGTGTTTAAGGGTTCTACAAGAAGGAAACGACTGGGCCTGATCAGAGGGGCTTCCTAACTTTTCCCCCAGGAAGTGAGGTAAAAAGTGAAAGGCGGGCAAATGTGTATGATTATTTACAAAATCAGAAAGGAAAAAATGCTAAAAACAATGTCTTCAGCCTTGCTTTTCTCAGAAGATGGAAGTCTCCCACATATTCACCCTGAAAACACAGGCACCACCTACCGGCTCTTCTGAAGAAGGCTCCTCCATATTCAAAGGGATCTTGGATTCCGCATCCTCCCACCCAGGAGGACAGTTGGAAGCGGTGGTGTCCCTGATGTCACCATTTGGGGCTGTGGCGCCCTTCACTCGTCGGCAGGTGGAACCAACATGGTGGAAGAAGAGGCTTTTCTGCGGCATGGGCAGAAACCAGGCCAGTGCAAAAGCCACGGACACACAGGCCAAGGAGATGACGTTCAAGCTGAACAGTGGCCAGTGCGCTGCAGAGGCCAAGGTCTGGCCCAGGACAGAACCCACTGTGAAGCCCACAAGGGCGGCGCTTCTGCAGTAGCTAGTGACTTTCTGGTACATGCCCAGGTCCACCACACTGTAGACATAGGAGTAGTAGGCGATCTCCGCAGCTGTGGCGATGCCATAGAAGAATTCCAGAAACTGCATGGCCAGCAGTCCTTGGGCATAAAGGAGCATGAACCAGGTGACAATAAGGCTGAGTCCCTGCAGCAGGATGACAGGCTTGTAGCGGAGGTAGTCTGTGGCAAGAAATACAGGAAACAGCAGCACCAAATAGGAATAGGTCCAGACTGGGTAAATTTCATTGAAGACCTGGTAGGAGAATGATAAGAAATCCTAATTGTCACTCTACGACCTCGGTTATTCATACTTAAGTCAATGCCCTCAGGGATCCATGCTGTTCTCTTTTTTTTTAATCCTTATTAATACCTTATGTTTTTACGATCACCTTAATTTCCAGACATATCCTTCTGCCCTTCCTCTACTTGATGCCATCCCTTGCAACAAAAATTAGAAGAGAAAAAGACCCCCAAAAAGGTAGCTTGCAAAACTAACCAACATATTAACTAGGTCTGCTAGTATATACAATATTCCATACCCAATCCCCCACCTCGGCAAAAGAGGAAGGAAAGCTTTTTTTGAGAACTCTCTTCTTTGGGGTTAAGCCTGGGGATCCATGATTTGTAGTGTGAGTACTCTCTCCTCCCCCAATATACTGCAGTCTCGTACAATATGGCAGAGGTGACTTTTGAGGGCTGATATAGCAAATGAATTCAGAGGCAGCTAGATGGGGCAGTAGATACAGTGCTGGGCCTGGAGTCAGGAAAAATCAAGTTCAAATCTGGCCTTGGATTCCTACTAGCTGTATGACCCCAAGGCGAGTCACTTAAACTCTCTCTGACTCAGTTTCTTCAACTTTAACAATGGGGGATAACAATAACACCTGCATCACAGGGTAGTCATGAAAATCAAATGAGATATTTGTAAAAGTGCTTGGCACTGTGACTGCCATGCAGTAGGTGCTTAACAAATGCTTTCAAAAAAGAAGGTCTCCCTAAGGTCAACCTGATGACCAACCCTCTTCAAACTGGTGATGGGGTAGTTTGTGAAGGGCAGACATAACTGCCCGTCATCAAGCCTTTCTAGCTTGGGAGAACCTGTCAAAGTTTGTGTTCCACTGGTACAATCTTTGAGAGCCCCAGGTTCACCTTCACGAAAGAATAAGGCATCAAGGGGCAGCTCAATGGCGTAGTGGATAGAGCACTGGCCCTGGATTCAGGAGGACCTGAGTTCAAATCCGGCCTCAGACATATAACACTTACTAGCTGTGTGACCCTGGGCAAGTCACTTAACCCCACTGCCTAACCAAAAAAAAAAAAAAAAACCAAAACAAACAAACAAAAAAAAAAGAATAAGGCATCAAAGGGAAACTTCATTGTCAGACTGGTACAGTAAAAAGACCTTTGCATTAAAGTCAGAGGACCTAGTTCAAATCGTGTCCCTGGTACTAACTAGCTATATGACCTTGTCCAAGTGACTTAACTTCTCTAAGCTTCAGTTTTCTCATCTGTAAAATAAGGAGGTAGGACTAGATGGGTTTTAAGATCTTCTAACACTAAATATGTAATTCTGTTATCATCCATTCATTCCTACAGCAACCTATCAGGACACTGTAAATACACAACACAAGCTGTGTTAACCCTGATCAATTAAAAAGGTCTAAAACCTCACACCCCTGTCAATCCCCAAATGCAGTTTTCTGATCTGGCCCCAGCATTGCTAAAGGGAGATAGTAGGGGAGGACTGGAAGAGGTTTAGAAGTAGAAAGAGGTTAAGGGTTAAGGCCTTGGTACACTTAGGCAGCCCTACATTGCTGACAGGCTACTTCCTTCACTTACAAGTGATTAAAAATGGGGGAGAAAAAATAATGTAAGAGGTAGACCACTTGTGAAACATGAATTACATGAATGAATGAAACATGAATTTCAGTTAACTGTACAAATTGACAGTCCTCAATCTCCCAACATTCAATACAGCAATTATATTTTTACTGTATTATCTTTGCTTCCTTGTACCCATACCAACTTCTGGCAGGGATCAAGGTCATGCATGTATGTAGGTTAAGTAGGTGTTACCTGTTCTTTTTTTTTTTTTAGGGACAAAATTATATTTTTTAAAAAAGATATCCCTTATAACAAGGAATATAAAATAGAACTCTCCCCACTCCCCAGCAAATTTAACCAACCTATTAGACTAGGAAAAAGTTTTAGTAATGTTCCAAGACCTCCAGAGCCACCTCTGCAAAGAGGTATGGGATATGACTTTTCACCTCTTCTCTGCGGCTAACCTTGGTTATTACCATTTCATTCCATTCAGTTTGGTTTTCCTGTCATTATTCTTTGCATTCCCACTGTTAAAATCACTGGGCATAATGTTTTCCTGGTTCTGCATACTTCATTTTTCATAAATAAATCTTTCCATACTTTTCTATATTCATAGTAACAGTCTCTTACGTTCATATGTCATAGTTTATTAAGATGTTCTCCAATTGATAGGCATCAACTTTGCACCTAGTTCTTTGCTACCAGAAAAAGTGTTCCTGTAAATATTTTTGTGCACAGGCAATTTCTTTCTTTCTTTTTTTTTAATCATGGCTCCATGGGCCTTTACCTAGCTGTGGAGTCTCTGGGTCAAAAGGTATTTAGATTTTAGTTATTCTCATAAATTCAAAGTGCTTTCAAGAATGGCTGGACTGATTCATAGTTCTAATAGTACATTAGTGTGCCTATCTTTTCCCAATCCTTCCAACAGTGACTATTTTCCTCTTTGGTCACTTGGCCAATTTGCTGGGTAAGAGGTGAAACCTCAGAGCTGTTTTAATTTTAATTTTTCTCACAATGAGTGATTTGGAGCATGCTTTTTGTTAACAATTTACAATTCTCCTTTCGAGCATTTTCTTGTTCATATCCTTTTATTAGTTACCTAATGGGGAACGGCTTTTGGTCTTATATACATCAATTATCTATATGTAATTTGGATATCAGACCCTTATCAATGATATCCAATGCTATCTGATTCAAAGATTTTTCCCAGTCAACCACTTCCCTTCGCATCCTAACTGCACTGATTTTGTTCATGCCAAGCTTTTCAATTTTCAATTTAACATAACTAAAATTATTTATTTTATCCTTTGTAACCACCTCTCTCTCTTACTTGGTTAAGAATTCATCCCCTAGCCAAAGCTGTAAAAATGAAAAGGTCCTTAGAGGCCATGCAGTCCAACCTCATTGTACAGAGGAGGAAGTGGTGCCCCACCCAAGATTACACAGGGGGCAGTAGGGGGTGGTAAGGCCAAGATGACAGCCCAGGTCCTTGGGCCACATCCAGCAGCCGTTCCACCGCACAGTGCTGACAATGAGAAGAACCTTGGCTCCTTCTAAGAGCTGGCTTAACAGCCTGGAAATTCTGAACAGTCTAATCCTTTCTCTTATTTAAACCATCCTGCGCCTCAGTTCCTTTATAAAACAGATCTAAACCATATCTCAGATCAAGGCATAATAAAGCCAACGTCTGTAAAAATGGCCGGTATTAAAATAAAAGCATCATTATCCTACGTAGTTATAAAAATTATTGTATTTCCAACTTCATCTGTGACTGAGCTTAAGAGCAATTGTTGGGCAGGTTAACCACCCTTATTTACTAAACCTGTCTCTGTCTGTTTTGTCAATCACAAATTTACAACGTGCCAAAGAACAAATGAGAAAATTATCAAGTACTTTACAATTTTCAGGCCAAAGCAGGGAAATGTGGCAGATAAGGAACCAGGTGGCTGATAATGCCAAACAGAAAATCAAATAAGAGGGAGGGGTAACCTCTAGAGCACTCCAAGAAGGGAAAGACACTGAAGACGACAGCTGGCCATCAAGTTGTTGTGGGTGTTCAGGTCTGCGGCTTCACCAGCCTTTTCCTGTTGAGAAGGCTTCTGGACTTAGAACTTAATTCACATCTATCCCATTTATAACCCCTCTCATCTGACTCTGTTTCTTTCCCTTCAAAACCTCTTCCTTGATTTTCTCTCCACCACAGATCACTGTCAGGTTCCTTTACTAACTATCTTTTAGTGTTTATTTGCTCCTCTTCCATCTCCCCTCAAGCCTCTCGTGTCCTCCACTCCAAACACTATCTTCAGGACCTAGATATGGTATATAGTAACAGCTATCCCTGAAGATTTAATTGAACTGGTCAATTTTGGACAGAATAAATCCACTCCTTCTGATCATCATTTCAAAATCTTGTACTTACCAGCTTGTCGTCATACATACAGCCGATGTTTGGCAGATAAAGCAAAGGCTGATTAGAAGCAATAGATCAACCATCTGTGTAACCAACCACTGAGCCTAATGGAACTTCCTCAGACGATGATCAGACAGGCATCTCTTAATTTACCCTGGCCAGGAGTAAGCTAATTACCAGGGCATTCAAGGCAAGAAGGACTTCCTTGACTTGGTTCTTTCTGTAATTCACGAAGGAGGCAATATTCTGGGAGCAATCACAGAATGATAGGGAAAAGGCTTCTGCCAGTGCCCATGATTACTTTGCTACAGCTGCATGGCCAAGGAAAAGTTCCTCCCCTTCAGGGTCCAGGAAGAAATGACTTCAGACCAGGAACTGCTCAGGAAAGTGTCGGAGGCAGATTTTCCCCCAGACAAAATGCACAAGTTGTATTAGCTTCTTTTTTAATGGCTCCCTTCCCCCACCAGAGTGTTTCTGGTAATATCTACCACGCCAAGTGAAATTATCTTTCTCTACACCAAGTCTGTGGATCTAAGCTTGCCTTCTCCCTCCAGTGGAAGACACACCAAGACAAGCTAGATGACTAGTTTTAGGGTCCATTTTTGGATGTTGTTCTCTTTTTTGAAAGGAAAGACAAAACAAACCAACTCACAAAACTAGAAACCAATAGCCAAACGAGAAAAGTGTGATAGCAAAGGTTATTTTGGCTTACAGAAGAGAAAGTCGGCCTGGAAAGAAGGCATGTTCTAGCTGTGTGATCCTGGGCAAATGCCTTACACTCTCTGGGCTTGAGGCAGCTAAGACTCTATGTTGATCTGCCTTGGTAAAGTTCCTCACTAACACCAATGAAATTATAGAGCTATTTTTTAAAAATGGTATCTGAAACTTAACATTTTCTAAAAGATGACTACTTTTCTTTCTTTTTTGTGAGGCAATCGGGGTTAAGTGACTTGCCCAAGGTCACACAGCTAGTACATGTCAAGCGTTTGGTTTGAGGCTGCATTTGAACTCAGGTTCTCCTGACTTCAGGGCTGGTGCTCTATCCACTGTGCCACCTAGCTGCCCCTAAGATGACTACTTCTTTATAATCTAGAGCAACAGTGGGGAACTTGTGGCCTTGAGGCTACACCCCACCCCTGCTCTGGAGGTTCACAGTTCCACAACTTCAATAGACCAGAGAGGTCATCTGACCTAACTCCTCTGTTTTCCATGGTAGAAACTTGAGGCACACAGAGATTAAGTGATCACATAGCAGTGAGCTACCGAGTCTGCTTTTGAACCCAGGTCCTCTCTCCCCTTAAGCTGATAGGCACTAATTCATGTGAAATTTTGGGTTTGAACAGGTTCTGATCAGGTGGTGTCTCACCATCCAAAGGTCACTTTTTGGAGATTAATGAAATGACAGGTAAATCCTTTCTTTTTATCCCCTTTGGACAAAAGTAACAACAGTTCTATTTCAAAATATCTACCTTGTGGTTCCTCCCACTGATTCTAATTCTTACTTATAACATCACTAATGTGAAAATATGTTTAATAGGAATGTATAGCCCATATCAGATTGTGCATCGTCTTGGGGAGGGAGGTGGGGGGGATTTAAAACTCAAAAACTTATGGAAGTGATTGTTGATAAAGCAAAATAAATTAATAAACAAAAGTGAAAAAAATAAATAAAATAAAATAAAATATCCACCTTGGCATTCCAGTAATCAACTGAAGAAACCAACACTTTAATTCTTAAGGTAATATTGCCAAGATTTTACAAATGATGACAGATGTTTTTACTTAGGAATTCTGTAACTTTTTTTTGTTTAGTTGCCTATATTACAACATATTGGGGAGGAGGGGAGGGAAGGAGGAAGCACTGCTCTGTTTCCATTTCAGTTATTAGCTATTCAAAAATCCCAGGTGGGAAATGTCTCCTGGAGCAGGACAGTGTCAGTCATTACAGAAATGACTCAGTGATCCAGAAAACCTTCCTCACCAGGCAGGCCCTGTGCACCCTGCCCCAGCCATATCTGGCCCTAAAACCCTGCACCTCCTTTCCTTATCCATTCTGCAAAAGGAGTGGTGTGCTCTCAGTACACAATAAGTAAACAAACACTGACTGTGCTCAGCACTGCAGGTCTATTTTGAAGTCTCCACTCCAAACATGTCTCGCTCACCCCAGGAAGTTCTGAGATAACACTGGGCGCACAATGGCCTACGCAAGAACAGCCCGTGTCCAGGACACATGACCCAGCAGATCAGTTGTCAAATATCAACACAGAAGGACTGTATGAGTCCCCTCCCCGACCCCACCGCATAGCTCTGTCACGGAAGGTGCACTGGACTAGCGCTGACCCCACCGCTGCTCTCCAGAAAGTTCTCTGGGTCTTAGTCATTTCACCTGAAAGAAACATGAGGGTGGGGCCCAGGTGATTTCCAAGACCCCTTCCACCTCAAAACTGCATGTGGTTCAATGAAATGACTAATAACTTACTGGAAAGTGAAAAGAAAACCTGCAAAGCAGTCAGTGGAACCAGTTCAAATGCTCCCTGGAGGATCACTTTGCCTCCAAAGCTCTCAGTTTCCTCACCTGTAAAATTAGAAGACTGGGTTAAATGATCTCCAAGATCCTTCTACTCTCAAATTTTATATGGCTCTAGGAAACGAGTCCAGCTACATCTGTGATCAGGGGATCCTTAGTGATCGTAGGTCCTCTACCTCAATTGATAGACAAGAGACTCAAAACAGGCTTCTTATGCCCAGAGCCTCCTGTTGTTATGAGTATCCTGGGCAGAAAATTCTGAATCCTCAATATGATAATTAATAATATGATAATATTGATTATATGATAATAAGAATAATGATAACATACCATTATAATGATATAATAATAATAACATTTATATAGCGCCTTAAGGTTTGCAACTGTTTTACATACATTATTGAGCTATCTCAACAACAATTCATTTATAGACAGTGCCTTAAAATTTGCAACTGTTTTGGGGGCAGCTAGGTGGCGCAGTGGATAGAGTACCAGCCCTGCAGTCAGGAGGACCCGAGTCCAAATCCGGTCTCAGATCAACCACTTGACACTTACTAGCTGTGTGACCCTGGGCAAGTCACTTGTTCACAACTGTTTTACACACACTATCCAGCTATCTCATTATGGGCACCTTTCATCTCAGTAATTTTTTTTCTAAACATTAAGACAATGACTTTTACAGCTTCTTTTCAAGGGAAAAACAGATGTGAGATACGTGCTCCATGGAGACAGAGGCTTATCTAAAATTTTGCATTTTCCTTTCCTGTATCAATTACAGGGGACTCTTAACTTCTCAAGTTCCTCTCCTCAAACATACCTGAAAGAAAAAAGCAAAAACCAAACAGCAAAACAGCCACTCTGGTGACTCTGAAAATGGAGGAAAAATTACAGCCACTGACAAATGAGAGTAATTACATCCTGCTGGTTTATAAATGATCCTTCTTGTGCCACTCCCAACCTGACCTGTTGTGCTGGGTGACTGAATCTCTAGTTAAGAGGTGACCAGCCATGGGTGAAGAGCCAGGCTTAAATGGATCATCTCACAGCATCCCAGGATCGGGGGAGAGGAGGAAAGAGCAGAATGAGGGAAAGGGGGACTTTAAGTCCCTACTATTCACCCAGTGGTGATGAGGAAGGAGGGGTGCCTCCAAGACCATCATCACCATTAACTGTGTCCCAGTAAAATAGTACCATAATAAATGCTTGTTAATTGATCACAGATGTGGAACTAGAGGGGATTTCAGAGGCATTCTATTCTGGTCCAACTCCCTCATTTTACAGATCAGGAAACTGAGGCACAGAGTAGTTGACTTGTTCAAGGTCACACAGGTAAAATTTGAATTCACAGCTTTTGACTGCAAGTTTTGTGTTCCTTCTGCTGTACTACATTGGTTCTATCTTTTTAGATTTCCTATAGCACTTTGGATTTAATTACTGGGTTAATTTAGAGCAGGGGTGGGGAACCTGCAGCCTTGAGGCCATATGTGGCCTTCTGGTCCTTTTCACCAAGTCCAAGTTTTACAGAACAAATCTTTTTATTAAGGGGATTTGTTCTGTGAAGTTTGGATTCAGTCAAAGGGCTGCTCTTGAGGACCTAAAGGGCCACGTGGCCTGGAGGCCCCAGGTTCCCCACCTGTGATTCCCCACTCTAAACATCAGGCTCAGATGTGGATAAAGCACTTTGGGTCATCTTTTTCCAGACTATACCTATCAAAGAACTTTATGGACAGATACTTATTTCAAGGGGCTAGGGGTGAGGAACATGAGCAGAAAATACTGTACTCTTCACGTGGGCTTATAAATAAGCTAACTGGGGAGACCAAACTAATTCACTTGAAACAACTTAAAGGACAGAAAGATTAACTGTAATTAAATGAGAAATAAGCTGCAAAATTTAAAATATTTAATTTGAGATTGGGCCTCAAAGGGAAAAATCAGGATGTCCTGGGAACCCACTTAATAAGGCAGTTTAATCAAGTTCAGGCTTGCCCTCATTTCACTGGGCACATCTAGGTTTCCTCCATCGCTGTAGTCAGGCCAAGCCTAAAGTGGGTGTCTGGATTTTTTTTCCCCCTTGGGAAGCAGGGAGATGGTACGGGCGGTTGGAAACTTTCTGAAGTACCGGGGTGAGCCCTTCAAGTTCCGAAATAAAGTCCATCGTTTTTACCTTTTTATCAAAATGGTTTCTGTACCTGCTGGGTCAAAGCTGCATCCAACCTGTCCGCACATCCCCGCGCCCCCCGCTCCGTTAGGCTGTGACCCCCCAGAGGGCAGCGGCCCCGCTTCTGCCTTTCCTTGTGTCCCCAGCGCTGCCCCAGTGCGGTGAGGACACCCCGCGGCCGAACACACGGACCCCCGGCCCCAGAGCAAGCCGGCGGCTCCAGCTCCCCCGCGCTCGGCGGGGGGTGTCCACGCAGCGCCACCCCCGTCCCCCCAGTCCCTGCCCCGCCCCGCCCAGCCCCACGTGGGGCCGCTACCTGTCTCTCCGTGAGGTTCTTGTCGCTTCCCAGCAGGTAGGGGGTCAGGAAGGGCTCAGACGGCCGCAGGTTGGCGAAAAAGCCATAAGCGCAGAGCAGCGCGGTGGGCAGGAACCAGCACTCGCGCGGCACGCGAGCCGTGCGCAGCAGCATCGTGGCCGCCGAGGCTCTGGGGGCCGCCGACGCTATGGGGGCCCCCGGCCCCGGCACATCCATCCGCAGAGCGGCGGGGCGGGGACTCGAGCCCGACCCCTTCCTGTTCCTCCCGCTTCTGCTCCCGCTCCTCCTCCCGCCCCGCGGAGCCTCAGCCGCGGCTCATGGACCCAAGGTCGCGCCTCCTCCCAGGCCGCGCCGCCCGGGGGTCACTCACAGCTCGGTCCACAGCCCGCTGGCCCGAGCAGCTGGCTCGCTCTGCTCGCTTTGCCGCGGCCCCCACGTGTCACAGGCGCCCGGTCACCTCCAGCCGCCTCGGAGCCAATTGTACGCGGGCGCAGGCTTCCTGCTCATCTTCCTATTGGTCTGTGCTTACACGCCCACTTTTCGAGCAGCCAATCAGAGGCGGGAGAATGCCGCGCCGCCGGATAATGTCTTCCCTCCACAGTGAAGATCTATTGCAACTCTGTATGCTGGGCAGGGGGATGGGGGAGTGCAAAAGCAAGACGACCCCAGGCGCCGCTCCCCCGCACCGGCCAGGGCTAGTGCGAAAGGTCACCTCTCCCAGGGCTTAGCGTCTTGGGCTGCCCCTTGCTTGGAGGGAACTCCCTGGAGGACATTGCTGCGGAACAGCAAACATATACATCTATACATCTGACATATGTGTGTGCACATACATACGTATATATGCGCTGTGTATATTGTGTCCATATGTGTATGTAGACACACAAATATCACTTAATGTGTATAATCACTTGATATAGATATAGATAATACAGAACTGTTGTGTATGCATCCATACATGAGTATATAAACACATTTTTGTTGTTTAGTTGTTTTACTTAGTGACCCCATTTGGGGTTTTCTTAGCAGAGATACTGGAGTGGTTTGCCATTGCCTTCTCCAGCTCATTTGACAGTTGAGGAAACTGAGGCAAACAGGGTTAAGTGACTTGCCCAGGGTCATACAACTAGTTAGTGTCTGAGGCAAGATTTGAACCCAGGAAGATCAGTCTTCATGACTCGAGGCCTGGCACTCTATCTGCTGTGCCACCTAGCTGCCTGTAAACACATATTACTTAATACATATATACATATATATTATATGGATGTATATATTATCACTTTATAGTTATGTGTATGCTTATACATCACTATGTATATATGCAGACAGCACTTTGTGCATGTGTGTATACACACATATCGCTTCATTATATATGTATACATATGCATATACACACATCACTTTATATGTGCACATACACGATGTATATACACATATATGTATGTGTATACACATCTCCCTACGTGTGTATTATATGCACAAGTCACTTCATGTATACACATGTGTATGCACATAATGTGTGTATGCATGTGTGCACATGTGTATTGTGCGTATATAGCACTTTGTATATACATGTATATATATGTTTGTGTGAATATGCAAGTGTGTGCATGTACACATATCACTTAATATATGTATGTACCTACATAGGTATTGCAACATGTGGCACTTTATGTATAGCTATATGTATACGTGTGTATTCACTGCACATACATACATATTGTACATATATATCTGTGTACACATTATGTATGTACATAATTATATACACACATCACTTTATGTAAATATGTACATTTAAGTGTACATACATAACCATATATATGTATACATATATACACAAGCATGTGTACGTGCATAATATACACATGACACTTTATATGCATGCATACACATATCAGTTTTGTGTGCATATGTATGCACTTGCATGTATCCACATGTGTGTTTACATGTGCATGTATAAACACATGTCACTGTCGGGGTTAGGAAGCCCTTTGGTGTCCATCATCTCTTTAGACAGCTGTCCACCTATAAGAGAAGATAGTTCAGCTATTATAAAGCTCATTGTATTGACAAGGAAATGGAGGCTCAGAAAGGTCCAAGGTTTGCTGAAGGTCTCCCTGCAAGGCAGAAGCAGCCTGGAGTGCTGGATTTCCCCTAACACCCCTGCCTTTCCATCTTGTCGGGCCCCCTGGAGAAGGCAGTCAACCTCTCAGATACCTCTAGTAGAGGCAGTAGCGCTTGGCACAGTGCCTGGAGCAGAGTAGGTGCTTAATAAATGTATGTTCCTCCCTGGTCCAGGGCTATCCCTATTTGGCAGCCGGTGAATGGCACAGCCTGGAAAGGGCTGCTTTCATTGTGCCACAGCCATCTTTTGGGAAGGAGCAGGCCTTGCCAGGGTGGCTTGGACCTGTCACTCTCATTGGCACTCAGTGTGGTCTTTGTGAAAGACAGGATGACTAAGTCTTCACCTTAGGGAGGGTCTCTTTCTACCTTTCCACCATCTAGTCATCAAAGAAACTTTTAACAAGTCTTTATTAGTGTGCGGAGCCCTGGGCTGGGTACTCCGGGGGTTATAAAGATAAATCACACGTGGCTCCTGAGAAGAGGGTCAGAGGAACTGTAACAGGTGAGATTGAGAAGAAGGAAACCAGGTTTCAAGTCTCTGGCTGTATGAACTTGGGACTCAGTTTCCTCATCAGTATAAGAAGGGGTTGTACTAAATGATGTCTAAGATCCCTTCCAGTTCTAAATGCAATGAACTCTAAGATCATTAGTGACTAGGGCTTATGTGTGCATGTGTGTGTGTGTGTGTATGGGGGGGAGGAAATAACTTGAATTTTCATTTAAACAGAATCATAAATTACAGCTAGATTTCAAAAGGCTAAAATATAGAGAGGGCATTCCCGGCAAAAAGAATGATGTGAGTAAAGACAAGGAGACAGGAAACCACTGGAAATAGAGTCAGGAGGAAAGGGGAATGAATAGTCCAGTGCAGTTGTCCATACAGAAGGGAGCAGTGAGAAATGAGGCAAAAGAAAGCTGAGGATCCCAGGGTCACAGCTGAGGCCTCTGGTTGGAATACTGCCAGCATGAACTTGCTCAACAGTGGTAGTATCTCAGGCACATCTGTGCTGCAGGATTGGCTGCTCCATCCTGGCCCTCTATTTGTATCCTCATACAGCCAGAGAAAAGTACATTAAAAACAAACAAATCCAAACATTAGGAACATCAAGTTTGCAATGATACATGGTAGTCAGGTTATCCATATAGTCTGATTTCCAGTCTCTGGCAGCCAGTAAAATTTTATGTAGACATCATCTAAGAAAAATATCAGCAGCAACAACAAAGGCATGTAGCAGGTTGTCCAACATATAACATTAGTACGTGTAGTAATAACATATAGTAATAATATATAACATGAATAAGATAGTAATATATAATACAATTGTATAATGTAATAATATATAACATGTAGTAACAATATCGAATTAATAAAAGTAATAATAGATAACAGTAATATATATTGTAGAGAAGGCAGGAAAGTCTTTCTTATCTTGTGGTAGCACCATTCTGTCATTGGACAGTTCTGATTATTAGGAAACTCATTATATTGAACTAATGTCCACTTCCCTGAACCTTTCATGTGAGTATTGGTCCTAGGTCTAGTGTTGAAAACTCTTCCACATGACAACCCTTCAGATAATAGAAAATAATTTTTATCAAGATGTTAGTGATATCATTGTTGTAGGTGTTTGCTTTGAAGGTGTTAGCTGCAATCCATTCATGCCTTCTCATCCTGTGCCAATCTTCCTGTAAGTTCCCCAAAGAGGATCTACCTCAAATGCTAGAAACCACCCTCTTTGTGGGTACTGATGTAGCTATCAAGCTAATCAGAAGGCGTCCTCTTATTCTCACTACATAGCCCACCCACCTCCTTAGCCAATCATATGTTTCCTAAATGATATGTTTTCTGCAACTTCTTGGAGAAGTCATTATTGGCAACCATGAATGCCTTTTTTTCTTTCTTTTTTTTCTTTCTTTATTCTTCTTTTTCTTTTTTTTTTTTTTTTGTAATTAACAAACAATAAACACACTGGGACCTGTATTCTGTGCTCCAAATAATTACAGCAAAGATAAATAAGAGAATTGTAAGAATCTCAGCCAGCTGGCTACCAAGGAATAGAATTCATTGTCCTAAGCATGATGGATAAAGATGGCAATGAATAGCATGGCACTCCTGAAACTTCTCTGTAATAGGAGCTATTTTTTATTTTAATATTTTCTGTCAGTCTAGATGATAATCATTCACTTGCCCACTGCATACACTAATTCACACTGGATGACTAGAAAAAAAGGCTGCTAATTTCAAATAGAATCATGTCGTTTTAGAGCTGGGAGGAATCTTATAAATCATCTCCTCCAATAACCTGTTTTTGAGGTAAGGAAATGAAAGTTCAGCAAGACAAACTGTCCTCTGGACCATAATTTCACTCTTCCCCCCCCCCAACTAAATCAATCTCTCTCATCTCTCTCTCTCTCTCTCTCTCTCTCTCTGTCTCTCTCTGTCTCTGTACTCTCTCTGTCTCTCTGTCTCCCTCCCTCCTTCCCTCCCTC